TACTCGATATGAATACAATGTGTTTTTTAAAATGGACAGTCCAAGATTAAGCATTGACCTATTTTTTATAGGTCCATGTATTTCTTTGGCCATATCGTCTGTGGACTTGGATTAGTACTTCTGAAACTGCGCAGGAGGCCCAAGCCTAAAAAAGAAGACCCCGCCGAACTGCCAAAGGAAGCCCGATTTCGTGATTCGAGCTTCGTATCATCAGAGAAAGTAGAAAAGGGGAAAGACTTCCTCGCAAACAATAATGCASCTCATTTGAGAAAACCCCATTTCAATAAGGGCAGTTGATATATTTATGAATAAAAAATTAATCAATAACTCTGAAACTTGCGATGGATTCAAAATCTTATTCACTGAATCTTTTATGCCTTTCACAAACTGTAATTTTAAAGATACCAGTTTTTGCTCTTTGATTCGTTTTGATCATTTTTTATTTGAYATTTTCATTTTTGTTTCTTAACGAAAACAGCAATCAAACAGTAAAGAAAACTGTTATATAATATATTTCTAATCTTCTAACTGATTTGGGCATTGCAGCCATTTTCCGTTCCGGGAACCCTGTGCTATTTTATAAACGAATTATTTATTCATAGACCATAAGATGTCTTTGGTTGTACATCTGAAATTAAAACCACGTTTGAAGATTAGAATATTGAAATATTTCACTGTTTGGGTTTCCTGTTTTACATAAGAAAGTAAGGGACTGGGGTGATAAGAATCCCATGATGCTATAGTATATACTTACGTTCTTCTCGTAACCATAGTTCCCTTTGTACAGATCATCCAATGAGATCACRTCGTCTCTTTTCGTAATTTCCGGCTTGTGTTCTTCACGTGTTGCACAAAGAGGATTTCCCGCGTTTTCTTTTTCCGTGCACAAAGGTGACATTTCTTTYACTTCCAGATCGCCCATTCCTCCATGACCACAATTATGACAAAATCCACCTAAAATAAGTCAATAAATTCGCAAATTTGTACAGGAAATCGCACGACCTTGAGTACATTTTGGAATTAATAGTCAATTGTAATGTTTTGAAAGTTCGCGTAATTGCACTAGACCGATACGAGAGGCTGTGCGATTTTTTGTTTATAGGACATTCAGTGGAACAAAAATTTTTAAGGAGTCCAATTAACGCTGTAATTGTACTCCTCTCGACCAATGAAAAAGTATTACTTTGTTGAATGTACTATAACGTCAATAATTGTTTTGTGATTTTAAAATGTCTAGTGTTCTGTTCAGTGAATGTCGACGCCATGTCACTGCGACTGCCGCCCAAAGAGGCCATGGTTGTGACCATCAGAACAATATGATATAGCTCTCGTCCTTATTGATGTGTATTGATAGCCTTTTATATTTCCGACGACGTATATATGTTCCTTTGAGATGGAAAAAATAGATAAAAACATAGGCGAGACTGACATAACTTGAAGGTTCAAACTCATGCAACATGATCATACTAAGGTTTCTGTGTCCCAGCAAAACAAGGTGTTTTCTTAGAATTTCAGATTTGGCTTCGTCGCATATGGAATCAACAAAGGAGCTGGCTTCACAACAGCACTAGTAATATCGTTGTGCGCGAGTCGTTAATTAGAATTTACGAGCTCCGCCATTGTTTCAAATTATAAACAAACAGGCCTTATCGATAAACAACATATTTTTTGATAAGCAGCCGCAAATATACAAGATTAAACTTGTTTTACTGCATTCTACCCAACTGATTAATTTTCCGCGTTCAAGATTCGTTTTATAATAGTCATAATTGACTAAGATCGAAAATATATTTACAAACTTAGCACAAGGATTATCGGATTCGAACATACCTGTTACAACAGGATTTCCACCAGCTAAAGCGAGCAGCACGACAACAAAGACAAAGAGCTCCAACTTCATTTTCCTCGATCGCTTCGCGGTGATGTGTTTTATAATAATAAGGAACGCCTTTGTCAATAAGTTATTTCGTTAGAGACCTTATATTTGTGGACCAGTCGTGTTCATAAAGTCAAGAGCTTGTTTTGTGGGATGACTCAATCCAACGCTCGTTATTTATAATAACAAAACTATAGCAATTTGGCCTCTTTTTTGTTTCATTGATTCCAAAAAATCGCTTTCGGCTAAATTTCTATTTATCTCTCGAAACTGAGAAACATTAAAGTTAATGCAAAATTTTCTATACCTCACCGTATTTTATTCATATTTCATATTAAACTGTTAAAACAATCTGTCAGTTTGCTTCTAATTCCATGTGGGATCTAACGGATCGTGAGGTATTGACCAATGACTGCGCGTGCGTTTTGTCTTTGCTATACATTTCTATAAATGTCCACAAAATACCCGCTCAATGTTAATACATACTTGGTTTCAAGCACCAAAAGAGCTCCCGTGAGAGCGTTATCAGATAGAGAACACAACCCGAGCACACCGTTCGATTGAACCGTTATAAGGATTGTTTAACTGTTTTGCTGAACTTCCCAAGACGTRCAGCGAGAAATGCGCGGTAAATAACGCATGCAGGAGACTTTCTCATGAGTCACAATGGAAATTTTATCAAAAATTATAACTAATAAGATGATTTTGGGAAAACCTGTGGAATAATGAAAGTGGATCATTCTTAGAGTGAAAATAGTGAGATATAAAAAWAAGTTAGATGTAAAAAGTACTAAGAATAAGCCAAAACTGTGCATCAGTGTTTAAGAAAAAGTTTTTTATTCTAATTTTGCGACATTAAAAAAAAAACTATAAAATTCCAGTTCAACAAGATGCTTTAAGAGATCTAAATATTGTATTTTTCAGCATCCATATCTTCACTTACTTTAACAGTAATAGCTTTAAACGTACCATAAAATGATGCAAAGTCGTCAAAATCTTCAGCACGCTACTGAGCAARACWRCTCAAACCTTATAGATCTAGTTCAGTCTGTATTGAKCGCAAATTTAAAAATTGATTGACATTWAAAAAAGCCCAGCAGCTTCTTCGAAATGTTTCTGTTCAGATTTAATCAACACGACGAGAACCCAATTTGTAGTTTCACACTTCGCTCTTGACTCGTTAATTGTTTTCTAACGATTCTAGTGTAAAATAAGCGTTTGTTTCCGCTAAAAAGCCATATAGAACAAGTTCTTCGACTGGTAGAAAACAACCTCAGACTGTCTTCTTTAGCAGGTTGTATTAGAGTAGCACACGTGTAGTGACTTATTTATCGGATCGACCTTCACAGCGCATGCGTCAAAAATCAGATTACAACATTACTCTGGCAAGTTGTTTAGCGCTTTTGGACAAAAYATTGAACAATATATGGGCAAAATTGGGATATTTGTTGAAGACATATTTTAGGTTATTCGCCAGCTTTGGGCTGGGGGCTTGTCAAGCAATGGGGCTTTCTAAAGGCTCATTCTTTGTGTTGTCAATTTTTGTCTTTGTTCTTCTTAATGAAGTCGCTTCGTATTCACATCAGACCAAATGGGGCGAAAAAGGTAAGAGAATATTTTCTAAGCTGATTTTTAAACACCAAAATTAAATGCATTACAAAAATGAAACTTTACTACATATCAAGGAGATCTAAAAGGCTTGGTTTTCGACATCAAGTCGAATGAAAATATTTGTAATAGAGTTAATTTAATCTCAAATCAATTTAACCTTAATAAATATTATTTAATTTACTGAAATCAATTTTTTTCCCAAATTAATCGGAACGATTATACTAATTCCAACTAAACGCGCGTGAGCCTGGGTCTAGTAAWCCTGAGKTCAGTGTGCGGTCTCCAAGAAGGTCRTTTACCGACATAATGACAGCTGAACTGTTTTACTTTAGTTAACACACTAGAACGGGTATATATTGAAGTAAACAACGKTTTATCACTGCGAAGCCACTATTGACCTACCCTATATGACACTAATCTCTTTAATAGTGTTTTGTCTGAAGCTTCGTCCAAAACCGATGCGACTTCGTAGCRTTTTTGGCATTCATGCTCTCCGTCCTGTCAAAAAGGAACGAAAAAACCTTCCAAAAAAACTCTACGAAAACACATTGTTAATATTTTTTGACCTTATTWCTGAATACAAACGCCATATTGAATCYCGTTATTTTCCTGGAAACTATAGGATTCCAATTGACAATACTATTAATTAACCGTAAAGAATATTAATTCATGTTRATAAAATGTTAATTCATATGTTAATTGACCACAGCTTTAAGATGAAGTTRAATATGATTCAATTCAGCTCCTGCAAACATTTTTTGAAGAAATAATTATAGCCTAATAGAGATAATTATCTTTCCATGYATGCACATTCCGATGCATATTCGACTAAACCTAATTCGACTTTTTCAGTAAAAAAAGTAATTCTAGCTTCAGAGTTTGTAATTCTTCTTTATATATGTAAATGTATTCTTCAGTATGTAAAATTTAATAAAATTTATTAGCTTGCCCCTAGTTTGGGCAGGGGCACCGCAACAACTTGCGCCCATTACTGCKGGCCCTATACCTCACAATTACTTCCTCTATATTATAAGTATTTTAGCACACAACACTCCTCACATGTTTACTATACGTGGCGATATCATTTAATTTCGATCTAGTGCATTGCCTTGGCCATACTTATACGCGTTTCTCTGTAAACTCTCCAYAAATAATAGTCTAAACTCTATTTTTTATCGTATTATCCAGCGCCTCCAGGATGCGTTCCATGTCCATCATCTAAGGAAGGACTTTTCGATACACCAATATGCGGCGTCAATGGGATAGCCTATAAGAACTATTGCTACCTCACACTTAGGAACTGTATTGCTAAGAAGTTGAAGAAACCACTCGTTTTGCCTTCAAAACAGCCTGCAAAGTGTGGGTGAGTATGAAAAACTATTTTTGTTTGATTAGTAGATCGATCGATTGTTGTTGGTTGATTGCCTGGGTGGATGTCTGAGTGTGTTGTTGGTTGGTTGCTTTCTTGGTGGCTGGGTGGTTGGCTGGGTGGGTTGCTTGCTTGCTTGCTTGGTTGCTTGGTGGGTGGCTGAGTGGGTTGCTTGCTTGTTTGCTTGCTTGGTGGCTGGGTGGGTGGGTGGCTGAGTGGGTTGSTTGCTTGGTTGGTTGCATGGTTGGTTGCTTGATTTCTTTGTTTTGGTTGCTTTGATGTTTAGTTGGCTTGGAGAGTGGTTGTTTTTTGGTTACTTGCATCGATGACACCAAAACGCGGTATTTCTTTCAGCTTACAGATGAAAATGTATGGCACCTTTGGAGGAAACGGACCATTTGGAAAAAGAAAAAGAGATGTGCATGATATATGGGAGGAGTTTAGAGAATGAGGGCGTAGTAGACGTAACCGCAAAAGACTTTATAATACTATACACGGTGTCACTTGCGTGGCAATATCTTCGGAGTTTGTTCTCCAACATGCGCCTTGGGTGTTAATTTAGATGACGCACGGATGTATTTTTATTCCAAAAATGAATTTTTAGATCCTTATGTCAGGGTCAACCGAACAACGTGAGTGCAAAGGCAAGTGGGAGGCTTAGTACTCAGGAGTAGCCAACGGGATCTGTTCTTCTAAATAACTGCTCTTGTACGAATTATTTCCTGGGAAATGGATTTTGAGCTACAATCTCACAAGCAAATGTGGCGCTCGGCTTCCTTCTTTAAAATAATTTTGTTCCTGCATGGCAAACGTTTTTTAAGGTCAAAAAAGGGTTATATAACGTTTTTATGGTCAAAACGGCTTATGTTGTTTCAGTTAGGGAATTTTTATTCTTCCTGCCGAAAAAATTCTTAGAAGGTATTCCTTGCCTGGAGAGCTTTTTTCCTGAATTTCTCGCGCTAGAAACCATTTGTGACTTACAGTTGGCTGGGACATAAGAACAGATATATTTCTCCGAGGAACCCGTCGACTCCACCTAAGTACTTCATGTAAGACCCGACCGCTATATAATATATATGTTTGCAAGTGCCAATTCATGGGGTCTTACATGAAGTACTGATCGAAATTTGCGTTTGCATTTGTGTAGTTTTCAACGTGTGCTCATGCGCGACGAGCCAGAATTAAAATAAAATAAAAATGTGTGTATATTAGTAATGAGAAATATGCTGTTTTATAATGATGCGTTTGTTGAATAATAAAAAAAAAAGAATTTTCAGCGTTCAATTCTTGATTTTTCTTACATTCCGCGTAGTGTTGTTTGAAAAATCTGATAAACGAATTATATTATTACCCACGATGCACCTAGTGCAGCTCAAACATATCGACTGTACTGTGCAACGTCGCGGACCACTCAAGGCACAGTCACGCAAGTTAATTGACGCAACAGGAAAAGATCACGATCGAAGCGCCTTCACGSCACGAAACTACAGTAGTTTTTGAAAAAATATACAAAATCTTAATTTTCTGAAATTACTGTATATCATTCTTCCATTTTTTCAGTCGAAAATCCATCCATTTGTCGATTCATAAGRATTTTTTGTTTATGTAAAAAACTTCATTCTCTTTTGTATTGCGTGACGCATCATGACAGCTAAATTCACTTCCGCCATGACGTCACATCTTGTTTTTATCGAAAGTCATGCCCAGGCAAACACAAAAGTCTTGAGRCAGCGACGAGATGGCTAGGGAAATCTTGGAAATCCTTGCTTCTCACATTAAAAAATATCCATACGATCAGGTAATTTTATTAAAATAATATTAGTTTATCCCTTCTTGGATTTGCATTTAGTCTAAAAACTATTTTTTCGCCTTGCAATCGCTAGAAATGGCGCTCGCAACTTGCGCTGTCTTGCGTGTTTTGAATCTTAATTCATTCATCCAGAATTTTGCTATTTTCATTTTTTACGGTTTAATTCACTTATTGTTATCTAAGTGAGGACTTCCTAGGGAAGGATGGAAATACTWTTATACATTTTGAATTAAAAGAGTTCTTGAATAATTGTGTAAGAAATAGTTTAATTCCACGCACTCAAGACCTGTTGGTGTAATTATTGTCCAGGTTTCTTTCATCAGCTGTATTTTATTCTCYTATCCTCTTGGGATTGTTTACCGTCGATTATTTCACGCGTCAAACGTTTCTCCACAAACYCGACAAACGGTTGGYTTAGCTTGGGGCGTTCTGTTTGGCTGGATTTGCTTCAAATGGTCAGTTACATTAAGAATATGTTAAGCTAATGTTGTTTATAGCTTTATTATTAATAATTTAACGAATAAAAATATAATTACAAAAAACTATGTTGATAATATGTGAGATAAATGTTACTAGTAAATTATATGCTAGAAAAAATTTTACCGTCTTTGTTGCAAAAATCTTTTTTTTTTTTTAATTGCAAGTGTCAGTTCGTTATATTATTATTCAAATACAGTATGGTATTAGAAGCTTATCACCTATCTTTCATCAGATGAAAATATACCAGTGTGCAATCAAAAAACAAAATTATGATAAATATTTCAAGTGTTTAGGCTGTTTCACAGCACTTTTTTGAGTTAAAATGAAATTYCCAGTTAAATTTTACTTATAATTTAAAGAGAAATAAATTTAAAACATTGTTCACAATGTCATTAAGCTATTGAAATGTCGTACAAAAGTTTTCACTAACTGAAGCACTAATGAATCATCTCTCTCTCTCTTCAATTAATATGACGAAGTGTATTGATGACAAAGTCTGTTGAAGCCATTTGTCCATAAACTAAAATTCTTCCGGCGAATTGTAAAAAAMCTTTTTACGAAAATTATGCTTTGTTAAGTTGTTTACAAATGAACAACATTAATGAGATAATTGACTGAACTGTATATCAACTAATCAATACATTTGCTATAGCTACAGTAAATTGCACATTAAAGCTTATAAAAAGGTTAAAAATCTTGATGTCACTATATTCTTTTGTTTTCTACGAAATATTTATTCAATTTTTTTTTCATTTTATTTTTTGATCCCATCTGGATGTGTTTTTATGTATGAATAATTAGCATTCCAGACAATCCCCTCCTATTTATCAATGATTATTTCTSAGCATCAAACCTTTCAATAAGTTGTGGTACTTTCACAACGATCCACAACTCTGACAAATTTGGAGATCTTGAAGTGTACTATTTCACCTTCTTGAAAGAGATTGCACAAGCCTAACATTATATTTTTATCATATTGTGATACGCAAATAACACATATAATTATTAAACATACTAAATACTTTTTTTGAAGTTGCCTGTCACTTAAGTACTTACTGAAAAAAATATTGGTGATGATATCCCATAATTTCTGATATATTTTATATATACCTGAAATAATGTATGAGCAAAGAATATCATAATTTCTGCATTTCTGTATATTAACATATTTTTTCAATGTTATTATGTATAATGTTTAAAAATAACAATCTTTGTAATATTATGACAATTATATTATATATTTTAATCTTGAAATGCTGTAGTTTATTTCTCAGAAGGTTGTCAATTTGAAAAAGATGAATTTTTGAGAACTTATTCATAATTATATTGTTTAAATTGTTTAAATTAACAATATAGATACACATCTTTTTCAACTGGGCAACCAGCTTTGAGCTTRTAGATGTATATAGCATATGATTGTAATGTTGTGTTGTTTCTACAGGCAGTTGTTCAATATCATCGGAACAACAACTTTATGTTATTTATTGACCGTATACGTACACCCTAAATATACCCACAGGTAAAATGTGTAGTTCCAGAAAATATCCATACCCCCACCACGGAGGATTTCGGAAATTCCGAGGGGGTTGGGGGTTAAAGTAGCTTGGAAATTCCGTGGGGGTGGGGGGTTAATCTGCAATCGATCTACAAAAAATCGATATGCGTAGATATGCGTTATTACCGTATTCCTGACTCGCTGGTCGCTCTT